CAGCCCCCCAGGGAACCCTTCCCCAGGACGTCATAGGAGTGGTAAAGGATTGTGAATTTTGATACACACATAAGGCTCGAGGCTGCTTTGTTCGCCCCTTAATGGTGGATCTTTCTGCATTAAAAATAGGACAGGAAACAACGCGCCCCTTAAAGTGGACTACGGGTGGTCTGTCTCCCAGGTAAGCCCACACTACCGACTCCTCTTGGTCGTCCTCGTCATCCTCATCATCTTCTTCGAGAGTACTGGCATCCTTGGCGTCGTCACTGTGTAGTCCTCTGATCAGGTCTTCGTCGTACGTAGTGAAGGAGCCGTTCTGGAACACCACGACGACCTCCTCTTTCAGCTTCGAGTGCACCAACAGTGCAAAGGCCTTCGAGGTTGACTGCAGCGGTGAGCGGCGCCATTTAGCAACGTCCAGATCCGTGTCGCGCCAGACGGCGAGGCCTTCGTTGGCCGGTGAGGCTGTCGTCTTATTGGCCTCCTGACGTCTAGCCTGGCGCGCTTTCTTACTGGCGCCTACGCCTGGAGCGCCGCATACACCGAAGAATACACGCGAGTGCGGATGACGTGCTGCGGCCACATGCAGCGCATGGACACTGCCAGCACGGAAGGTCCAGTGGTTGATGCATTTTCGCGTAGGAGCGCTGATCTCGCGTACATCTTCCGCCGAAGTCAACAGAACCAGGCGACTTCCATCTTTGGCGACAGAAGATGACGCACCCAGCAACACAGCGTCGGCAGCGCGGCCGCGCCACAGCGATATGGCCTGGTCCAGCTCCATGACGGTCAGGACGTTGACACAGTAACCCAAATATGCAATGCAGTCGTTTTGGTTGGGCCAGAGGCTTTGATTGTTTTAGCCAATAGATACGAGTAACAGAACAGGTTCACCATAATTGGTCAAATATCAATCGACCTAACTTTCTTACCGTACTTTTGACTTTGATATTTCTGTTGACTAGTTTCCGTGATTATTTAAAAATATTCAGAATTCCTAAGTGAAAAACAATTTCTATAAGTAAAAAGTTAGTCGCGCTCATCAGCGTAGTGTCTTTAGCACCGACCAGGGATGCCGAAAAATACATTGATTGCCCGTACAATACAATAACGACCCTGAAATTATTTATTTTTGGACCTTAAGGCTGACCATAAATAATTTACCTTTTAATCTTGTGGATGAATACCTTAATTTACTGTTAACTTAGGAAATCGCAGATAGATGGCTATCAAGAGCCCACCTTCTTCCGTCTAACGTACACTCACTTTGCTATCTGCATCATGGCCACCCAAGCCTTTTCCAACACTCGAATCTCTGGTTTCTACTTTTCAGCCGTCACGGATGCATTCAATGAAACTATTGAGGGTCTCTATCGGTGCCGGTGTGGTACCGTTCGTCGACAAGCACCCCGAAGTGGGTACACCAACCTCATCCAGCACGTACGTAGCCAACACCCTGACTACGTGGACGTGATGCGCGAGGCGGACACCGGTCGCGGCACCCTGGAACCATGGATTCGTCAGCGTGCACGGGACCTACACGGGTGGCTAGACTGGATAATATCCAGCAACCTACCGCTCCGTTTCTGTGAGAACGCTGGGGCGAGATGGTAAGATACTGTGTCTCTTCTGCTATATCGTTTTCACGACTAATTAATTGTGTGTAGCTACACTAGCCTATCTCCTGTTTCTGTCGAGACATTGCGCGGGGGCATGGAAGGGGGTAACGCTGGCAGTAGAAGCCAAGATTAAGGACGAGATGCCTAACCAGTTTGGTCTCGTCATCGACGGATGGTCGCACGACTCCGGAGCACTTCCTAGCCGTTTTTGCCTGCTACGAAGTGGACGGAGTCGCGAAATACCCACTACTGTCCATGGCCCCTCTGATCAACGAACCGGACGATGACCATGGTGCTCGCACGCACGAAGTATTCCTAGCTACAATGCTAGAGCCACCGCCTGAATTTAGCGGTTCAGGCGTACTTAAGCACCTACGAGGACGATTTGGCGCAGATACAAGCTCTCATGCGTAAAATGAAGACGCTGAACCTCTCCGCAGCGCTACGGTATTTTTTATTTTTTTTATTTTTTTTGCCCTTTAATATTTTTTTATGTTATGTGCATTAGTTTTAAAACGCCTCTCCGACCTATTTATTTTTTTTTAATAAAAAATAAATTATTAATAAATGTTAATATTAATAAAAATAAAAAAAGTATTTTACATTTATATAATAAATTAATTAAAATTAAAATAAAAGGTGTTTTACAGGGTTTTAAAATTAGTTTACTTTTAAAAGGTATAGGTTTTAAAGCTTTTATTGAAAATAATAATCTAATTTTGAAATTAGGATTTAGTCATAATATTATAATACCAATTCCCTCAAACATTGAAATTATTAATCAAACAAATATCTTAATTTTTAGTAGTATAGATTATATTTTTCTAAATCAATTTGTACATTATATTAGAAATCATAAAAAGCCTGAACCTTATAAAGGGAAAGGTTTATTATTAAAAAATGAAAAAATTTTACAAAAAGAAGGAAAAAAAAGTAAAAAATAATTAAATATGATAAAAAAAAAAAAAAATAATAATAATATATTATTAAATTT